GATTGATTTTCTAAAAACCATAACGAACCACTTCGTGATTACTGCTACAATTAATTATTGTCTCAGTAAAATCACAAAACCCCTACACCTGTATTAAAAGCTTTAGGGAAAACATAGATGTTAAAGCCAGTTTTGAAAATATTTACAGTTGCAGAGTCTGTTATATCTGGTTACTGTGTTCTCTAGATATGGTGCTGCAAATGAGGAGGCTCTGTCACCCATTGTCAGGTGGCACAGTAAAGCCTCAATCAGCAGATTTCAAATTAACAGTTGGACTATACTCGTGCAGTAAGCCTGGGGTGTGCAGAAAAAAATGAAGACAATCAATCTACATTTTCTCTGGGGTTAAGAGTAAGCTGACAATATGAAACACCCTTTTATGTTGCATACACATACTAAAATATGTATTAGCTAGCTAGATTTTCTGAAACCAGTGTCTGAGTCTATATCATTATGAATACAAATTATAAATATTCTGATAGTACAATTGTATAGCAGTGAAATTGTTGCTTTATCATGCTAGTCTGTTTTTATAAATGCCTAATAGTGCAGTAGTCATACTACAGGTAGTGATTACAAAATGGACATGAAATATTTTAGTATTTAGATATATTAAGGGCTTCCAGTGGTTCTGACTCATGTGTTAAGCAAATGATATCTCAGAATGTTTATGACTCCCATTGTAATGAGCATGACACTGATGTTATCAAACAATTCAAGCTTTATTGTCCCATTTGGGGAGCTTTGTTTTACAGCACACTCCCAACATAACAACACAATGACATAGAAAAATATATCAACCAAAAAGTCAGTACAACGGTGTTATGATGGTTCTATCTACCTTAAAATACCTTAGTTTTCTTAGAAAAATTCTCTCTGTTGTCCTTTTTTATAAATGGTGTCGCAATTTTTCGCAATTCAGGTTTTTGTCTGTGACCAGTTCCAATTAATTATAGTCATTGACAATTTTTGTAGTCTGGTTATTACAGTAGGTTGGAGGGGTGTTGCATTTATTCTAAAAATCAATGACCAGCTCCTCTTAATCTTTAGTAAAATCCTTTAGAATGGGTCCATGATGGGTTCTTTAATAAGCTGACCAGGGCTGTGACATCAACAAACTTAATGAGATGTCTATTTTTATTGTACAAAATGTAAAGGGGGACAAAACACCAGTGATCCAGCGGAAGTAAAGCGAATGTCAGATAACCAGTTCCCCAATTTGACCTGTTGTGTCCTATTTGTTAGAAAGTTTAGGACCCATCTTATCAAGTTATTGTTTGGCTTGAAGTTTTCTAAGAGTTTCTGTGCAAGCAACACTGGTTGTTACCACAATAAGGTGTGGGGTCACAGGGAGAAAAGTTAGTGTAAACGAGATGTTACTCACACCACACAGTTCTTCTCCATTACTTTTGTCCGATTATTTTGGACAAAAGTAACGATTATAACGACACATTTGGTTATTGTCATTTTACTGGGATTTTACGACCAAGTCACTACATCCATCGCAGCACAGGTCGCCGTTTCTTTCATTCGTCTGCAAGCGGAGTCTCTATCCCTGCCTTTCGGCGCACGACTGTAAGTCCATCCAGTACCGGTGCCAACCTAAAAAATCTTCTCTTACTACCGCACCTGTGTCACGGACGTCCAAAGGGACTAACCGTGGGGAGTAGGAGAGCG